GTTTCAAGAGGGAGGTAGTTGAAGAGAGAAGGGGAAGCGAGAGAGGGAGGGAGCCCAAAGGAGAAAGAGAGGAGTAGAGAGGTAGATCACAGGTCCCTCTTGATCCATCCTGATTACAAGGTTAGGTTAAGGTTAAGTGACACGGGCGACTCATGCCTCTTTTCTTCTGCTGGCTCCCTCGCTTCCTCCCCCCCTCTTTTCATTTAAAGGTGAACAGGGACTCTTATTGGTTATGTGCGTCAGCCTGAAGTTATGTGCGGCTGTTGTCAAGAGTGTGGTGCTTTTTATTTTTTTACACACAGCTGCTTACTGCTAAATAGTGCCTTGTCCAGAAGGGGACAATCTGGGCCTCTAATTGCTGTCACTGAAGCCCAGATTCATTATGTGACTTTCCCATTAAAATGTGAGCATTAATTTGTATAATGAAATATCACCCTCTGCAGTGTGTTCATTAGCTCCGGCCCCACACTGTAGTGCCACAGTCGCACAATGTTAGCTACCTGGAAAACTGTGCTTAATTTTGCTAATGGATATTTTCCCACTCACTGTTCAAGAGGAAATTAATACCGTAACATTAGCTCTTTAACTTTTTGAGGAATTTAAATTCACTTCATTCCTTTCGAGCCGGTGTTAGCCGCTCATTAATCTCCACATTGCACTTCACAACGCTGCCCTGGTAAGCAACGCCATTGTGCCAGTCAGGTTGCATCAAACTAAGCAGAGCTCTGCTGCAGTCTGTGCATTCCCCCTGCACTGTAAACGGAGCGCAGAGAAGCTCTCCAGCTGCTGCTAACGTCGTCTGGTGGATGTAATCAGGAAGTCACAGTGGAGCTGGTATGATTAGGTTAAAGGGATGATTTAAAGGCCACATATTGAGGATGCATCAAGCTTCCTTTTTTCCTTCCTCGAGTGTGGAAGACAAAGCGTTAAGGCTGTGTTTGGACAGGACCATGTCCAAGGATGCATTCCATTCCAAACAAGTACATCCTTACTCAACTCTGAATTTTATTATCTTGCCTTGGGGCGCCAGATCAGGATTCACATTTAAATATGTAACAGCAAACATATAACACAGGGTTGGAGACGTTAGGTCGGCCCACCGGACAGTTTTGCAAAATGAGTTAACGCCAGACCACGCTTCAGGTCTCCACTTCCTCTGTGATAAAACGTTGCCCTCATGGGTAATCTTACTAGAGTGCGCTGCTCAAAACAGACGTAACTCTGCTCTTACATCAGATATCAAATACCTGCTGAAGCCTTCAGCTGCTGCAGCTCAGACCGTTTAAAATGGTGCAGCTGTAGCTGAACAGACGCTCTAACCACCCTTCCGTCGGTCCGTTCCACGGGTAGTATGTGGAAGTAGGAGGTCTAGGACAGAGGGCAACATTCCCTGGATCTTCTGACCAGAGGGTTCTAGTTCTGCCAAGCAGTCTTCTCACAGCTCTTGGGAAACCTTCAGGAGGAGGTGACCAGGAGGCCCTAATCCAATCACCTCAGCTGACTCCTTTCGACGTGGAGGAGCAGCAGCTCTCCATGGATGACAGCGATCAGATGAAGCTCAGTTCAGCCACTTTCATAATGGCGGTTGTTGTTTTAGTCAGGATCTTGTGAAGGTGAGGGTTGGATGACGTGTCGTAACTTTTCCGGATGAGCTGCAGGTTAAGGATCTTAACGCCTTGACCAAGCATGTGTAGGTTCTGGGTTCTTTACCGAGCAGAGGGCCTACACGCTGCAGAAGAAGGATTTTAGTAGAACGGTGTTACTGATCTCTCAGACCTTACCGACAGCGCTGTGCCTGAACGAGTCAAACGGTCGTGCGTGAACTCATTCATATTTGATGTGAACGTGAACTGACCTCGCTCGCATTTTGTCTGATGAAAGTTAAAGTGAGCTCACCGTTGGAGAGCTCCAGATCTCCATGGAGCTAGAGCTGTGGTTAAAATATCCTCTTAACCCTAGAAGCTGCAGAGAAACGGAGCCGTTGTAGGCAGTAGCGGTCACTGTGGCCCCCTCTCTTTAATGTCTATGCTGTTAATAACGGGCCTCATGATGTGCTCCATTAACCTCCGTTTAACCACATGAACACTGATTTTAGAGGCATCCTCACACGTTTGTCTTGTAAAATAAACACGTTTCCTCCACGGCGACTGTCGTTACGAGGAGCTGCTATGTGGAACGTAGACGTCTGATTAAAAACAATATATGTCTTCTAGGTGTTCCGGTTGATTTTTCCTACTGGGAAGACGTAATTTCTGAGTATTAAAGACAACTGGAAGTCTGGAACGCAGCATTAGTACAGGTGGAAACGCAAATCTGGAAGCCGTAGTCGCATGTGTCCATTTAGGCTGATTGTTGAACTTTAACACTCAGTTTCTATAACTTTTCTTTTCCTTGGAGCAAACAGAAAAGTATTCACACAAACTGAAAAGTGACTTAACAAAGATAATTATGGTATAAATGTTTTGCACTTTGAGGTAGAACCTTGTTTCCAACCTCAGCCTGGTTTGAACTGGTTCCTTTTTATCTTCTTTTTAAAAGTGCCAACAGTGGCGCATCACTTCAAGGTTCTAGTCCTCTATCAGTGTTCAGCAACCTGCTGTGAAGCAGAGGTGTGGACTCGAGTCACATGACTTGGACTCGAGTCACATGACGGACTCGAGTCAGACTCTAGTCATTTTTTAATTACTTCTGACTTTACTTGATAAAATGTATAAAGATTTACGACTTGACTCGGACTTGAACGCCAATGACTTGCGACCTGAATCGACTTGTATCTGTTGACTTGATGATGACTTGAGCATATTTGATATTTAAGCACAAAAAGTGACGACGTGGACAGAAATCTTGAATGGTTCTTGGTTCTGGGGTTGATCTTGCTCTGCTGAATGCAGCAGCACTCTGCTTATGATCAGTTTCAGCTGAACGTTCTGCTGTTTGAGCAAATAAATGAAGTTTTATTCCTGCAATTTATTTATTATCATTATCATCGTATTGAAGTTGGACAGATGACTTGATTATGACTTGAAAATTCAAAGTTAAGGACTTGGACTTGACTTGGACTTCCACATCATTGACTTTGGACTTGACTCGAGACTTGACTGGAAAGAATTGTGACTTCCTTGTGACTTGCAAAGCAGTGACTTGGTCACACCTCTGCTGTGAAGCTCTGTAGCTAATGACTACGTTTACATGCAGCCAATATCCGGGTTATGGTCGGTATAAGATCAGGTATTGATCAGAATAACCCGTTTACAAGCATAAACAGAAAGAGTTACCTCTAACTTGCATAACCCGATGTAAATGCGGACGTTGGGGTAGCGTCAGGACGTATGGACTACGTCCAGATGCAATATGCGTCATTTCCGGTTCTTCTTGTTCCGGTATCCGTGAAAACAACAACATGTTTCCCAGTTCGGAAGAGATAGCGACCGCGTTTGTTTGCGCTTTAGTTTCCTCGTCACTCCGAAAGTGTGGTGCTGTGCTGCGACTCGCCATGTTGCTCCCAACTTGTTGTTTACTTCCGGAGTTCTGGCGCGTACAAGACGTCTCGCTACTCAAAAGACCAAGATTCCTTGTGAACAGAGCATGTGCAGAACCCACGCTTTGATGGGGATATCCCGGTATGCGTTTACACGACCAAACATTCGGGTTAGAAAGGGTTACCCCAGGTGTAGTAACCGGGTTTTTAAAAACCCGGTTATGAGCATATCCGGGTTTTTGGCGGTGTTTACAAGGACCTGCAGAACCAGGTTATTGTGAATTTTCGGGTTTTAAAAGGGTTACTGGCTGCATGTAAACGCACTGATAGTCTTTGCTGCACTGGTGCTCGGGTTATCGGCAGCTCCTCTACTTCCATCCTATGATCGGACTCGCGGCTGGTGGACATCAGACAGTCACAAATATGATTCGCAGGATAAAAATCACAAGCGAGTAGTGAAAACAGCAAGGGGCTCAGGACACATCCACGTAGAGCACAGAGTTGACTAGAGGGGTGGAAGAAGAGAAACTGTGGATCTAATCAGCTTCATGGATGAAAAGGAGAGATTTGCCAACACCAGGTGTCTGATTTCCTCTCCAGTGTGACGGCCACTCTAACCCGGAAGACCAACAAAGCATCAGTACGTTTTAGAGAGGGTAGGACGCTGGCGACAGTCCACAATCCACATAATCACTCTGGCTGGAGACTTAACCTCCCAGTAACAACCGTGGGACAGACCATCCCAGTACTGAACCTTGGTGAGTTAGGATGCTTGACTGAGAAACCAAGCTAAATCTATTAGGCACACCATCTCACGCACATCCCAGAAATGTGGACAGGGCGGCTTTGTTTTGCCTTGAAAGTTATTGAGAGTTAGAGGGTGTGAAATTGCCCTCTGAGTGATGTCATTGGAAGACACTGAACCCTTGTTGTGTTAATTAGAGCTCAATGAAATGATGAGCAGGAAAAAAACAGAATAACAATGGCCTTAAGCCTAAATGAGGGACACTGTTAGGAAGCACATCTTCCTACTCCTGAATGGCTTTCTCTATTTGGATTCATGTCAATTTGAAGCGAATGCGTGCCAATCCAACGGCTGATAAGACTGTGCAGGGATTACAGTTTAGGGACAGAATAAGATTATTACTTAGGTGACAATTGCAGTTTGTGTTCCTGCTTCACCAGGATCCGTGAATTGGGTTTGAGGATATTTTTATGTTTGGAAACATCACAAATGTGCTTTTTATTTCTGTCTGTCTGTCATTCTTTCTGGCTGCTCCACCGTAATGATTCAGTTTTCTCATTTGCAAAATAAGCAATTGATTAATCTGCATCGTATCCATCATCTAACAGAGATACTCGCTCCAATATGTGATTAGGCCAATTTTCATACACCAATATGTCAATCTAACCCCCCAAAGAAATGTCAGCACAAGCAGCAAAGTACATTTTGCATGAAGTACAATAAATGTGTAATTGTTCAAGGGTTGGCCTGAGCCAGGGAAGTGAGGGCGGTACTGACCTGTGTGTATCCGCAGATGGACTTTGAGATGATGAGAGGTGCGGAAGGACTTGCCACAGTAGGGGCAATCTTTGGAGGATGAGCCGAGACAGCGCTCCCGAACCTGGGAGGGAGGCGGCTGAATGTTCCCCGCTGCCTTGCCCACGTCCTCCCCAGCATCTGGAGAAAGCGCGGAGATAGGGAAGGGGGGGGGGACAAGTGGAAGGTGTGTTGAGTGCCACATCAAACCAGCCCTTCACACATCACAACACATTTTTTCTCCTCGTCCGCTGTCTGTCTGTCAGTGTCCCTCCTTTCCTGTGCTCGATGCGCAGATGCTGTACAAACACATCAAACGAGTTCACGGGCCACGCTATTTCTCTCTCTGACAGAATGCTGACAGTTCATAAGCTTTTCTGTTTCTTTGGAAACACAGTGGGTCTGAGCTGAGTCCCCCCTCCATGCTAAATCAAACACACACACACACGCCCTTAACACCACCGCCTCTCTTCACTTCCATGTTTTCCCCCCTTTTTTAATCCCAGTTAACATCATCATTCCTATTAAGCACGCGCGCGATGGCAGAGAAAATTAAAAATGCAAAATGAGACGGACAGAAAAGAAAGACACAGAGAGAAAGAGATTTGGCTTCGTCAGCATCGCACGACATCCTCACATCTCTCCCTGCGACCTGATTTTGACAGGTAGCTGTCAGAGATGCGATACAGTGATAACGGCTTTGACCCAGCCCTGCACCTCTTCCTCCGCATGCCAAAAAAAAAAGCCAAAAAAATCGATGATGCAAAGTTTAGAGCAACAGCGGTCTGTTATCAACACAATCAGCCTCTGAACAGGCATCTAAAGATGAGTGACGACAACCTGGGAATGTGTTGACAGCAGCACGATCTGAGGTGAGAGTGTCGGCATCAGACTGTGCACGCTGGTCTAGTTGTGCTGATAGTCAGGAGAGTCTGATGTGCAGCGTCTAAAGAGCCGAGGAACACAGCCGGGTTGGCGCTTACGCGGAACAAAGAACCGTGAAAACCAGAGCCGTGTCCAGGACTTTTAAAATGGGGTGGCCCATGTGGGGCACTTGTTTATGCATGGGTGGCACCAATGGTTATTTTTATTTATTTATTTACACAAATCGTTTATTTATTTATTTACTTTCTAGTGAATTTTGGCGTTTCACATTGCACAATCACCATTTTTTTCTATTCATCTTCTAGTTTTGTGGTGGTTAGCAAGTCACTTCTTGTTGCATTACTGCCACCAACTGGAGATGAGTGGGACTCTAAATACTATTTATGTGAATATGAAAAAATAATAAATAATATTAATACTACAGAAATGTTCTGTAGGCCTGGGCTAGAAGACGATGTTAAAGGTGCATGCTACCACACACTATTTTTGGAGTTTACAACCCAAGCCTTTTGTCGACAATGTAAAGTCAGTTTAAACTGGAACTTAGTAGGGTGGCACCTGGGGGTGGCCAATCAGATTCTAAGGGTGGCATGTGCCACCCCAGGCCACTCCCTGGACACGCCCCTGGTGAAAGCAACAAACAGCTGACAGGTCTGGTGTCCCGAAGCTGTAAAGTTCTAGATCTTTCTACAAGGTTCTGTTGTTTTGATGGGAGTCACTGGTGGAGGCTCACCATCGTCCCACGCAGCGCACACCTGCCAGAGAACTGATGTACAGAAACCTAAAGCGTTACTCTGGCTGTGTGAGACGGGTTCTGCACTCGTAAGGTCCGTCCACCACACACACACGCATGCACGGCTCCCGCTGAACTCGTGAGCAACGCTGACTCCAAACTTTGAGCCAGTGCTAAGCTGTTCCTCTGGCCTGAGCACATACATTACACACACAAATGTTGTTTATTTTCTAATCTGGTACATGATTTGGTGTGCGTGTGGAAAAAGGGAACAAAGCCAAAAAAAAGATTCAAAATTGAGGAACTTGTCTTGGCAACAATGACGAGCACGCCTAATCTGTTTCTGTAGCTCCCCGCCTCGCTCCCCCCTCCCTCACTGCAGAGTCCAATAAGGTTTACAGAATAGAAAGACCCAAGTCAGCAAGTCCTCTTCGACTGACACTAAACACACAACTCCATCCAGCAGGGCCGCCGTCAGGCTGCAGGCCATTCAAGCCAGCGCTGAGAGAGATGGCCTGCGTGTAAACGTGTGACAATAGACCGATGTTAACGCCGTGTGTGCAGACAGCAGTCATCACCCGTTAGGTCCACTTTCAGAGGATCTACCGGGTTTGCCGGGTGGGTCTGGAAGGAACTCACCTGCTGGGTGGCTTTTCTATTTGAATTTGGTCAAAATCGTTTGCGAGAAGAAAATAATTAAATAAAAGCAAATGCGATTCCCCCGGTGCTCGGTCCAGGGCGGCACCATACTGTATCCACAGCCGCCTCCCCACAAACATATTTTGACTGGTCTACTGTACAGATCCCTTTTTGGCAGCCGTTCCCAGCATCATGTAACAGACACTGGCCCACCTGCCCGCCCAGATGGGGTTTAAAATTAAAAAATCCAAAACACAGACTAGAAACAGGACACACACACACACTTCTCTGTCACGAGCACACAGTCAGACGTGTCCTTGTGTGTCAGGGTTAATAGTGCTCCTGTAAGAGGAAGACGCACTACTGGGAGGATGAGAGTGTGCTCTCTTGGCATATAACAGCCCTTCAATAATAAATGGGCTTCACACATAACCACACACACACACACACACACACACACTACAAGGAAAAGTAAAACACAACTTTGGGTGTGCTTCCCCATCGTGTCCGTGTGCACGTGGAGTTGAATTCCCATAATTCCTTGGCACTAAGCTGGGTGTCCAGCATGCACGTCTTTAATCAGCTGACTGATCCGCAGCTTTAACGCGGCTGTTCCAATTACTGTAAAAGTCATCCGGCTCCTTATAACCACAAATATTGACACTTTATTGCACAACACATTTATGACATTTTGAAGGTCACGCTGTATTTCAGGCATCGGCGTGCACGGCGGGGTTTGTGATGTGGAGAGAGTCGCCCGTTGACACCCAGCTGTAACTATCCTCCGACTATTGATTTCCAGCACCTTTATTCGGTATTATGCATGCAAAGAACTGCTGTTGGAGACAGCATTGCTGTGATTGTCACGGGTGAGTTGTTTGCAACTGTAAATGCCATTTTCACTTGCTATCATCACACTTTCAGCTGACATGCTGATCTGGGAATGTGTTGGAATACTGGCAGCACGTTATAAGGAAAGAAAACGTATGCATGCCTGTACAGGACTATTAAAGGTATATTGTTGTGAACGTGTTCTTAAAACTCACATGAAATGGTGAATTAAAGGGACAAATGACACATTTCTTCTCTTGCTGAGATGAAACTTTATTGTTCTTTTATATTTACGCTTTTATCTGCATCACTCAGACGTGCCTTAGCTTCCTGCTGAGATGACGACACCCAAACCTCATATTTTTAACATTAGTCCCCACAGAAGATCAGCTTTCCCGTCAAAAACAGAATCATTTTAATAAAAATTTAAACCCACTATTACATCTTGAACTTAAACATGCAGGCGGTTTTTTTATCCAGCGTGTGTGAAGCCGTCTCTTCCCTCTGCTCTAGGGACAGAAACATGACAAATGCAAAACTGCGACTGTGCTGGTACAAGAGTATCACAGAGAGGGAAAGAATACATGTATAATTCAGCTGTATCTGATCTGAGACCAGCTCCTCTCCCCTCTGCCTTTACTGGTGTCACGGCGGCGTAATGGAACATGCCAGAACAAAGGCTCTGAGATCAGATTGGAGCAGAGTTGAGCAGGCCATCTGGGAGGCAGGCTGAGTATCAGTCACTCTGCCTGCTGTCTGCTGCACTCACAATCATGCACGCACACTTCCCCTCTGACTAGCTGTGCACTAGGGTGCAAATGCGCGCCTGAGTGTGTGCGGGCTCGACACCTCGCTCCCTTCTGACCGCACGTCGCCAGGATCTTGGACGCATCGGCGTCGTGAGGAAACGCCACCGAGGCAGCCGCCGCCGCCGCAGCTGACTGACAAATATATAAATCAATGTGGATCTTCACGTGTGTTGGTCCTACGCTGCTCCAGCGACCACACCCAGCTCCCAGTAACGAGGAGGAAAAATACCAGTGAGAACAACAGGCTAAGCCAATGGCTGTGTGCACGCACGATGCCAAGGGTGCACGTGGGCTGGTGGTGGCGGTGGGAAATGCCAGCTCCTTAATGGTGCTCGTTCAGTCACACTTTGCTCTCTAATGCTTTGTGGTTCTGATTAGGATGATATCACTTTCAGGAAATAAAACAAGGGGGTAAAAAGCACATCAGTCATAAAAACACAAGATGGTTTTGCTTCTTGCTCGGCCATTATTCTAATGCGTCACGTGGCTGCTGTCGAAGCCCAGCGGCTCTCCCTGTAGCCAAATAAGTGATTTGGGGAGTGTGTGTGTGTGTGGTGGGGGCTGTGTGTGTGTGTGTGTGTGTGTGTGTGTGTGTGTGGGGGGGGGGGGCATTTAGAAAAGGGGGGGAGATATTAAGTGAGATTGGGTGAGAGCAAGGGTGGTGGGGGAGAGAGCAAAACGTGATGACATCATTTGAAAGGCATTAGGCTTTAAAAATGCGCCTGGGGGGACTTGATTTCCTTACAGCAGAGCAACACAACACCATCCAGCCTGAGGCTCGCTCCCTCTCTCTCTCTCACACACACACACACACACACACACACACATGCACGCGCTCCCTCTCTCTCTCACACACACACACACACACACACACACACACACACACACACACACACACACACACACACACACACACACACACACACACACACACACACACACACACACACACACATGCACGCGCTCCCTCTCTCTCTCTCTCACACACACACACACACACACAAACACACACGCACACACACACACACACACACACACACACACACACACAAACACACACGCACACACACACACACATGCACGTGCTCCCTCTCTCTCTCTCTCTCTCACACACACACGCACACACACACACACACACACACACACACACACACACACACACACACACACACACACACAAACACACACGCACACACACACACACACATGCACGTGCTCCCTCTCTCTCTCTCTCTCTCTCACAC